GGGGTCCGGCAGCGCCTTGGTGGCGGGCAGCGGTGTCCCCCCGGGCAGGGCACGGTCCCTCCGTTCACCCCACGCGGGCTCACGCGTGGCCGCGTACCCAGGCCCTCGGTTTTATCCGCCTCTCAGACTTGCCGTGGCGGACACAACTGAGAAAAAGCAGAAGCCTGATGAAAAAACTCGAGTGAAAAGGCGGCTTTTCGGCAGTTCGGCTGCCACCCTTCCAAAAGTCGCCCCCCTCCGTCCGCCGTCTTCCTCCTGCCTCTCGCAGGCGCTCGCCATCGCCTCCCCTTCCCCAAGGCGCTCTCTAGGTGTGAGAAACAGAGCTGCCAAACTCATTTTTTTCCTTGATTAACGGGTGGCAAATCCCTATTTCATGGAGCTGAGTGATTCTCCGCCTCGATTCAATGATTGGGACCTGTCTCAAACTGGGAACATAAAGTTACTGGAAATTCAAATTTCCAATTAGTTTCAAATTAGTGGCCTTTTTTTGCCCCTCCTTTTTTTTTTTTCCCTAGAAACAGATGCAGCTTTATTTTTTTACTTTCGTAGAAAAATGATTCATGCTATATCAATATTTTCCATAGGAAAGGGCACGCTGCTACCAAGCAGTCACGCTCCTCAGCCATGTTATCTACAATAGGAGGCTTAAAAATAATTATTTTGCATCTGTGGTATCCGTTTTATTCACCTCCTGGTTTCTGGTTCGTTCCAACGCACGTGCTTCTGTATTTTGAACTTTCTACCTTCATGCTGGAGGCTTGAAACTTACTTTCTAGAGGGAAATCTGGGATTCTTCGCCCAATCTTTATTCCAGAAATTGATGTGTTAAAAATGCACTTGGAGTGTTAAAAATGCACTTGGAATCCCCAAAATGGTCGTAAAATCAAGAGATTTGGTAAAGCTTTATGGCTTTGAAGCCGTTTAGATATGCTTCCTCCAGTGAGCCATACTAATTGTAGCTTAAAATGATATTTAATCTTTGGCAGCATTACGGTACTAAGGGGGCAATTATTTCTGAGATAAATCACTAAAAACAATTTAGGGAAACAGTGTGACTATAACACTGCTTGGTTGCCCAAAACTTTGAAGAATAAAATTTAAAAAAAAAAAAAAAATCCATCCTGGGCTGAACTGTCATATATCATTGTCGGTTGGGGTTTGATTAATACAGAAGTGAACGGAAAATTGCATTCACAACAGAAAGTTAATGCCTCTCCGTGTCAGCATAGACGCTACGGCACTGTAACGGGTTACGGGGAAACACTGCACAGACAGTGAAACCAGGATCAACGTTGCACGAAGAAAATTAATCATTTGCTATGACGGTAGTCACTTAAGTGCTTTCTCTACTCTGTAAACGAATATGCGACTCTTCCGTGACCAACTTCTGCCGATTTTGTGAATTCAAAGTTCATACTATACTGCAGTAAGCACTTTAGAAAGACTGTAGGGCTGTGGAGCAACAGCAGGGCTCTCCCATTTTTCTTCAGTCACACAGTGGTAGATGACTCAAAACTTTCTTGAAGCACTGCTGTTTTTTTGAAAAGTAGAATTATGAGGTTGTTTGAGTATAGCAGCTAGCGTGAGCTGTATATAGAGACCGAAGTTGATTCGCTGCCTAACATAACCATCTAATCCGTAATTCAGGTAATAAAGAGAAAAATTTTCCCCAGAGGAAAACTCAGATATGACCCAAAATCAGCAAATCCCATGTTAATTTATTAACTTAATTTAATGTTAATTTATTAATTATTTTAAAGTAGTGGAACTGATATAACTCCAAAGAAGTCTATGCGGTTTTCCAGCTCATGCTAGGCTAGGTTTTGGCCTTGTATTCCTAATTTCACACTTAACTTTCTCCTTTGTCTTTCAGTGTGGCAGGGAATTTCCTGTAAGGGAAAGGCGTAAGGGCGTTGCAAAATGCTCTGTTCACGCAATGCCCCGTGCATGGTAGTACTGAGTCATCGCTAGAGTAGATCAAGGAGAAGGTTTCAGTTTTACATTTGATTTTCATCAGTTTTGACAAATCTGACCCTTGAGTAGTTTACGAGACCGTTCGACATGAAAAAGATACAAGGAAGTTTAATAATCGATAATATGCGTGAGTTCAAACAAAATTATCTTCCCTTTTGGGCTTAAAATTATTGCTTTGTTAATTAATAAGGATTCGTGGATTATTTTAACCAGAGTGTTTGTAAATGACACCTGGAGAGTACAGTGGCTTCTTTTATGCTTCACATATTAACAGTTACTCAGGAGTAGTAATGCTGGCGCAGTACTGTAAATCTCAGCTGTATACTTGGCATTAGTAGATCCTACGTACTTCACTGGTGCTCTAGGCAGTTGCCATTTGAAATTTCAACCAAATGAAAAGGCCAGTGTTATCTATCTGCATAGTTTTGAAGATCCCAGGATCACCTTTATTACATTCAGGTAGTTGTTCCTCGGTCCGTTTCTACCATAAAAGGTGAAGTTCCTGCATCTGCGGCAAGTGCACAGATACATGCAGCACTCCCAGGTCCGTTACCTGCCCATCTTCAGTTCTGCTCAAGTGAATCCAGCAGGCTACCAGGAAAAGAAAGACTTTTCATAACTGTCATCTGATTTCTGGAGAAAGAAATGTAAATAAATGCCTGCTGAGCATGCATGTTTTTGTGGTCACATAAGAGGCAAACTCACACAATCAGCTACTCACTTTGATCTTATGGGTAGTCAGAAACAATTTCTTCCTGCCATTTTTTGGAAAGCGAGGCCAGCAAAGAATTAAAATTATTATTAATTTTTAGAATTTTTAGAAAATATTATTAATTTTTAGAATTTTTAGAAAATATTATTAATTTTTAGAATTTTTAGAAGCAATTTTTACAAAATCAGGTGAATCATCTTGCAGAACAAAGCATGTTTCACATCTCAAAAAACTTCTGAAGAAATCCAGATGAAGCGCCACCCAGGAACATTGTTAGAAATGCTGTTTAGAACTTAGTATGTGTTATTTCGTGAAGCACTAGTATATCAAACCTCTTTTTTGCTTGGTGGCACTGAATGTGAGACACAAGGAATAGTGTCTTTTCAAATTTACTGTGGAGGAGAGATACAGCAGGGAATTATTAAGATTTTTATAGACTTTTTGCAAGTGTTAGAATGCTGGAAGTTTTGAGAAATAGTAAAGGAGGGAATGACCTTGTGACTAACTGTAATTCCTCCTTCTGCCATAGACTGTGTCAGATATGCTTCTGCCACCGGTGTGAGTCATTAGATCATTGCAACATCCCTCAATCGAGCAAACACGCTTCACTGATGAATGAAATGTTTCCATATGCCGAAGCTAAATACTTCATTAGCCCTTTGTACGTTATATTCTCTCAAAGAATTGTTTTGTTCCTGCAGCTGCTTGTCCACCTAAGCAAAGGAAACAAACACATAAATGTGTGCCCGTGGAAAATACATGAAAATCTGATCCTGTGCAGCCTTGTCAGCCCCTATTTGGTTGTAAGTGTGAAAAAAAAAAAACAAGTTCTGCATGGTAATGCCCAGAACTTGTATTGAGATATTTACCAGCTCCTTTTCACAGCTGTTACTTGCAGGAGCCTAAGGCAATATATTTGCAATTTCTATCAAGCTCTGATTGTTGCTAATGCCAATGTTCTCCTGTTCAGATCCTGGCCTCGCTAGTGCAACAGTCAGGGAAAAATAATTACTGACAGAAACGTAACCTCGTGTTAGGTAAAGTGTGGCCCTCTTTGGAAGAGGCAAGGGGCATTTGCAGGAGGAAGAAAAGATGAATGCTGCAGAGAGTGAGAATATACCAGGGTCTTAAGGGAGCTGCAGCCATGCCGCATCTTGCAGCCAAAGTATTTATGAAAGTTTGTATTTCTAGCTGAAGGAGGATATATGGTTATGCAAAGAGGAGGCCAGAGGGAGAGTGTCTGGAGAGTTTCTAATTGTTCTCTCTGACTTTTCAGGAGCAGTGACCTGCTTCAGAAACATCCAGCAAGACATCAGGCTGGTGCTTAGACTCGTTGCTACAGCTCAGTGGTGTGAGGAGCCGAAGCCAGATCTACTGGCGAGATGACAGGAGCATGGTATAAAGCCATGAGCCTGCAAGCAGGCGTTCTGCTCCCCTGGAAGGCGACAAGCTGCTGCTTTCCAGCATCTCCTCTCATTTCAAGGAAGGAAAGACTTTTGCACGCTCTCCAGCGATTGTTTTAAACTGCTATAGGACCCTTGCAGCTACCTAAGACCTCCTGATCTTCCCCATGCATATCACAAGTGCTCACAGTGAGAGACAAAGGAAAGACCAGGTCGTTTGGCTCTGACAGCCTTACTTTTGAGTTAACAACAATGTGTGTCCGTGAACATCGGCTGAAGAGCCATTAGGAAAAGAAACAGTACTAGCAAAGTAGAGGTCTACATGGAGATGTTCAGAAAAATGATGGAAATGTGTGAAGGTGTATAAACCACCTTAAACCACATTCAACTCCAAGGGGAGTTTATTAATTTGCGAGTTTATTAATTGGCCATCATTTTGCACTTCCGAATCACTGGCAGCTACAGAAATGGTTTTGTTAATTGATTTCATTAACTTCTGATAATTTTCCTGAGTGTCCCAATATAGGAAAACCGCATGTCATTTAGTCAGACTTCATTATATCTTTGATGTGTAGCCAAGCTATTCCGGTCACATTATTTGCCCAGACCACATCGTCTTTCAGTAAAAAAAAAGTCTCATCAGCTCACAACTGTCAGACCCTTTCCATGGAGCACGTGAAACAGGATTGTTGGTGCCTGAGAGTGGACAGCATCTATTATTTTCATGGAAAAACTTCCCTCTCAGGCTCACAGAGCAAGTATGTTTTTAAATGAAGTGGGCGCATGAACGAGAACAGCAGCACGATCTCAGAGAAAGATGATCCTGCATCAGCCTCTACAAACTGGTCTTATTCCCATACTGAGTTGTTCAAGAAGAATTTCTCTGTATTTCCTTTAGGCAGTGAGTATCTTTTCATTAGGTGCATTTCAGTGTTTGGCACCTAGGCTCTCCTCCCGCCTGAGTTTTCACAGCACAATTGCAAAATATGGAGTAACAGCCCGTAAAACAAACCTCATTTCTGGGAAAACACTTATTGCTTTAAACCATGTTGCTGTAAAACCATATGTGTATTATGTCTTTGAAGCCTGGAACGTACTAAAACACTGTGGCTTAGGGGAAAGGGTGTTGTTTGTTTTGTTGGTTTTTCTGGGTAGCTTGAGAAAAATGTTCATAATCTCCTGAAGACGGG